GGTCTCCCCTCTGGAAGGAGTCTCTGTACTACTCTTACCGAAGAATAAAGAAGTCATTTTTGAGATCTAAGGTCACAAGGAAGCAGAAGACTGAAAATGAGGAAAATAAAGTTGCTTTGGTTCTTGTGCAAAAGATTGATCTCAGGTTAGCTCCTTTTTTCCTCCTCAACGCAGCAATTAAAAAAAAAAACAACACAGCATTTGGCTTATGTTTAGAAAAAAAAAGTCATGGTTCCAAGAGCCCACAGCGATGAAGAGGCCCACACACGAAGAGAGTGCAGGAGCCCTAAACCTCTTGGAGAACCTGTGAGAATCCTTGAGTGTTGGCATCTAACAGAAAGGAAGACATTGTTCGACTTCATTTTTTTTTTAATTCTTTTCAAGTCTTGGACCTGTTTCAGGGCAGCATACACTGGATCCAAGTGTTGCCAAGATCACTGTGGATCTGAATTTGTCTGGTTATGAGAATCACCTAGAAAATTTTAAAAGATAATGCTGATCTGTATACCAGCCGTAGTGAAGAAGAGTTCCTGGGAACGGTGTATGAGTTTGCTAGAGTCCCCATTTTTGTTGTTGTTTAATCGCTAAGTCATGTCAGATTCTTTTGTGACCCCATGGACTGTAGCCCACCAGGCTCCTCTGTCCATTGGATTTCCCAGGCAAGAATACTGGAGTGGGTTTCCACTTCCTGTTCCCGGGGATCTTCCCCACCCAGGGAACCCGCATCTCCTGCTGGGCAGGGAGATTCCGTACCACTGAGCCACCAGTGAAGCCCAGGGCTGCCATTACAAAGTATCATAAACGAGGTGACTTAAAAAGTGGAAGTTTATTGTCTCACAACTCTGGAAGCTAGGAGTCTGAGATGAAAGTGTTGGCAGTGTTCTGATGGCTATGAGAGAGTGTTCTTTGCCTCTTCCCTAGATTATGGCAGTTTGCAGGCAATTTTGGCAGTTCTTGGCTTGAAGAAGCATCCCTCTAATCTCTGCCTTCATTATTCACATGGTATTCCCACTGTGTTTCTCTATGCTAATGCCCTGTTAGTACGAGGACACCAGTAATACTAGATTAGATTCCACTCTAATGACCGTATCTTAACTAGTTTTCCAAATAAGGTCATGTCTGAGGTGGGACTTCAAGTTAAAATTTGGAGGGGACACAGTTGAACTAATGACATATGATTTTTTTTTTCCCAAAATTTCCCTGAGTATTTTGATGATTGGCCAAATTCGGGGATCCTCTGTTTAGGGATCAGCTTCCCTCTGAGTACACTTTTGGTGTCCTTATGTTTTTTCTTCTGTGGTCACTCCAAGAAGTTCTTGGGGCCAGTCTGAAAGCTCCAGATAGTGTATCTACAAGGGTGAGTTATGCTTTTTTGCTTCTAGGTTGATATTAATGGACATTTTGATAGGAGGCTACTGTCCTGTTAGGAGTCATTCCTGATGGTACCCCAGAGTTGTCATCCCTCCCCTGATTCATCTGGAATTATTTATCCTGTGAAGTTGAAGCACATTATCAGATGTCTCTACTGGAATAGGAGGCCAGGCATTTTCAAACATCTCAATTTGTAGAGCGTTGCTTGATGTTTCTCATTTTTAAACCTTTTTTTGGAGCAAAACATTTATCTCAATGCAAAAATCTCAAGTGTATAACTTGGTGAATTTTACATATGTATATACTCGTAATCACTGTGCAGAGCAAATATAAAATATTTATAGCTCTGTAGAGAACCCACCTGCTAGTGCAAAAGATACAGATTTGATTCCTGGGTGAGGAGGATCCCCTGGAAAAGGACATGGCAACCCACTCCAGTAGTCTTGCCTGGAAAACTCCATGGACAGAGAGGAGCCTGGCAGGCTACATTCCATGGGGCTGTGAAGCAGTCGGACACGACTTAGTGACTAAACATCAACATTAGATTACTAGTTCCCTCTCTCAGTCATTAATACGCCCGTCCACCAGCGGAAGGTCCTCTCACTATCAGGGTGGTCTGTTCTTCAAACTCCTTTACCACATATTCTTTAGTGCTTGTCTGCTTTTACTCAGCTTCCCATCTGAGAGACGTTCTGCGTGTCACCAGTGTGTTCCTTGTTATTCTTGTGGAGTATTCCATTGTATGAATAAGCTACACATTATTTATCCGTTTTTCTACTAATGAACATTGGAATTTTTCCAGTTTTGATACTATGAATAAAGCTGCTATGAATATGTCCTTTTGGTGAATATATTCAGCCCTTTCTCTTTGATATCCGCCTAAGAGAGTCATTACTAGATCATAGGGGAGGTTTATATGAAGACTTGGTTGATACTGCCGAAAAGTTTTCCAGAGTGTTTGTATGTGTGTGTGAATTTATACTCTCAGTAGCGTATATTTGAAAGTTCTTATTGCTTCAGGTCTTCTTCATGTCTTCATAATGCCAATCTTTAGCCATCCTAGTCAGCATATAGTATAACCTGACGTGACTTTATTTGTAATTTCTTGATGCGTAAAGATGAATATCTTTTCGTATATGCTCATTTTGTTGCTCATTTTGCTATTTGGATATCTTCTTTTATGAACTGCCTATTTGAATCTTTTGCCCAATTTTAATTGGGTTGTTTCTTTTCTCACTTTGTAACAACTTTTATTAGGTTGAGTATGATATCTTTGATCTTTTTATAGCAAGTAAGTTCTTGGTGTATGTAGCTTAGTGTCTTGAGGAAGAGAAGTTCTTAATTTCAATGAAGCTTAATTCATAGATTATTTTCTTTTATGGTTAATGCCTTTGCATCCTGTTCACTAATCCTTTCCTACTTCATGGTCCCAAAGACTTTTAAAACATAGTAATATTGAATATAGTAGTCTCTGATAATGTCTAATATTTTGATAAACATGATCAACTTTGCATCGTACTGCCAATTTATTAGCTTTTGAGATCTTATCCATTTTTATTCATACAAATTAGTTCTGATCTCTCAGGTATGATTTGAGTTCCTTTGATGTTGGTACTGCTTTTTCTTAGGAAAATATAAAACCCAATACTTAATCTAAAGTGCTGAACTTAAGGTATGCACATTTTGTTGTATATGTTCAAGTAAGTCATAAAGAGTTGAAAACTATTTGTTAAGAAAGCGGCAAATGTATGATTAATATATTACAAGATTTCATTATGCAGTATTTTTCATTCTAAGAAGTAGGATATACACATACACATACATATGCAGAGGGAAAAAAAATTTCTTAAAGGATGCTACTTTAAATACTCTGTGTTTTTGTCTCATAATTTAAAAACATTTTATCTTGTGAATTTAGGATTTAGATAAAAGTACAGAGAATAATGTAATGAACTCCCACTGACCCATCAGTCTGCTTTTCACATTTATCAATATTTTTCTATTTGATTCTTCCCCTACACATCTTTTTCTAGATTATTTTAACAAAATTCCAGGACTTATTTTTTTATCTGTAAATATTTTATGAAGCTTTAGCTTTAAACCTTTTTATTTTTTATTTTTTTTGGAACAACTGCCATTTCATTATTACATTCAACAAAATTAACAATAATTTCTTACCTAGTCCACATTGAAATGTCTTACTCATTGGAAAGTTGTCTCTTTTAGTTGTTTTGTTCAAATCAGAATCCAAGCAAGTCCTCATGTTATGAAGTGATTCCTGAGGTTGTTAAGCCTCTTTCATCTTAGCATTTTATAAATTATAACTTTCTAACTTGGTAAAGTTAATGAACATATGTACCATTTGCATATGAAAACACATAGTTTTCCCTTTGTTTATGTTCCTCTGACTCTCTACTCTGAGTAGGTATATTAAACACATTAAATTAGAAAAAATACTTTGAAATAGATCACTCAGTGAAATAATTGTATTATTATTTATTAAGTTTTCCTTAGACAACTAATTTAGGTGACAAATTTGTTTTCCACAGTGCTTCAGATGTTTCTTGAGTATCACTGAACATTTCAGTCAAAATTATGTGCTTATATTCACAAATTTATTTTCTTGGAGCTTGGTAGTTCTTGATATCAATTTCTTATACTTAAATTATCTATGACATTCAAGCTAAAACAAGTTTAAAATGCTGTAATGTTATGCTCAAGATTGAATGGCATCATAAACCACAAAGTTTCTCTTGTCGTATCTTCATTTATAGTATATCTACTTAATATTTTGTAATTTAATATCAGGTTTTACAGTGTTGGAATAGCTATCCACAGTGTGTCCTTCTTGGGCTTATCCTTGATTATTCATATCTGTGCATATTTTATGAAACTAAAATTCATTCTCATGTCTGTTTTTCCTCTTATCTTTTTATTTTTTCCATTTTTACTAAAAATTCAGTTATTCTGAGGATGTCTAGTATATATTTTTTCAGCTTCATATAAAATAAAAAAATATATATAACCTTATTTATTTTTTGGTTTGAGAGATATGATTCCAACCTAAATATACATATTTCTTCATATTTTGTGATATTGTCTTTATATTGAACAGTAATGGCATGACAATGTCATATGAAAAAGGAGAAGCTATCATTTCATATAGTTCAGTTTTTATTCTATTAAACCATTACTATTGATGCACTTGAAATATTTTCCTTTCCATTAATTCTTAAAATTATGCTCCTATTTTCAGTTAATTCTTGAATAATCAGTTGTGGTTTTTTTTTTTTTTTTCCTGCTTGAGTTATTGGAAACCTTGCCGAAATATTTTCAAGCTTATTTTCTGAAAACTGACCTCGTTTTGTTAGTAGTTCATTTGACTTTCAGTAATGAGAAAGTTCAAGCATGCATTTTGTTATACAATAAAAGCAAACAATGAGTATATGGAGAGTATATAAGATTCTCCAGAATCTTTTCTTGCATGAAATTTGTCCAATGTGATTTTCTTACATATGAAAGTTAATATGAAATGTTAGTGACATTTTAACCAAGAGGGATAGAACAGGTTAGTGTACCTAATTCCTAACAGGATTTCATTTTTGTGGGTATTTTTGTTTGTTTTCTAGTGGCTTTTCATGGCCTCCCACTGAAAATCAAGAAAGAACCCCACAGTCCGTGTTCAGAACTCGGCTCTGCCTGCAGTCAAGAACAGCCCTTTAAATTCAGCTATGGAGAAAAGTGCCTGTACAATGTCAGGTAAAGTAATTGAGTGTATAGTGAGCACCTGATGGTTCTTACTGAAGCACAGATTTACCATAATATAAAATCTCAAGTCGTATTTTATAAGAGTTACATCTTCAGCATGTAACAAGCTAATTAGGTCATGTGTTGAGCAGAACTCAAAAGGACTGTTTACTGTCTGATCATATACTTCTAGAATCATTTTAAAGCAGTAATTTTTATCCAGATCATGAGCTGCTTTCCCACAACTGTTAGGTGATGCATCCTGAGATTGTAAAAAGGGTTTTAGGTGGCATGAACAGGTACCAAAAGTTCAGTCTCATTAGAAAGAATGCACTATGCACTTTAGAGTTTGTAGGGGGAAAACAATGAAACATTTGGCAGGTCTGAACAGTACATTAGTTATCTGACAGGCTTTGCAGATGATCTATAAGATGCATTCATGGACAGTTGCAGTAAAGTTAGAATTTTATAAGGCTTAGCAGAGGCTGTTATCTGTTAAAAAGCCAGTTGTTCCTTCTGATGATAATAAAGGGTGGAGCAGTAGAAGTACATTGTTCCTTTGTTGGCAAATTTGATAACATGTATGTTCATTAAAAACCCTTCACAGTAAATTGCATTCTGCTACTTTTCATATTGGCCTCTAATTGCATAAGGAAAAAGTTGGCTCTGTATATTGTATGTTATTACTCTCAATTACAGTAGAGACTTAGTCCTTTAAAAGGAGTTAGTTTAGAAACTTACAAAAATGATTACAAATATTTGCGGTCTTATAAATTATGTTGATTCAAGTTCATAATGCATTATGATTCAGAGGAGTCTTCTGTTTCCTCAGATGTTTTTTATACCTATACTCTGTTTCCTTCTGCAGAATAATTTTCTTTTTCCCATTCTTTAAATTGAAGTATAGTTGAAAGTTAGAGGTGTACAATATAGTGATTCACAATATTTAAAGGTTATACTCCATTTATAGTTATTATAAAATATTGGCTACATTGCCAGTGTTGTACAATATGTTCTTATAGATTATTTTACTCCTAGTAATTTGTACCTCTTAATCTCCTACCCTTGTGTTGCCCGTCCTGCTTCCCTCCACCCACTGGAAAGCATTCACTTGTTCTTTGCATCTGTGAGTCTTCTTCTTTTTTGTTACATTGACTAGTTTGTTAAGATATTTAAGATTCAAAAAACTTTGATTTGTATTGTTTCATGGTTCCTGACCAATGCTTGGATATTTCATTACTATTTGTTCTTGCAGACTTGTCTTCTATATCCTCTTTCCTAGAAGGTTCATCAGAGTCTGAAATGATGAAGGTGGTTCAGTTGAACTGTAAAACTTTTATAAGATATATCTCTTATATATACTATTAAAACATCCTGAGTTCAGATAAAACAGTATGGATCAATCTGAGTTTTATTTTATCACATTTTTAATTTTTTTTCATTTTCTCCTTATGAATACTGTGTATTCACAGAGTAATTATTTAACATATTGGAGAATTTTTAATTAATAAACCAAATAGGTATAGGATTGTCATTGCATTTTAGCATTGATCAGAAGTGTGACTATGCAAGAACTACTGCTTTATAGACATATTTAAAAAAAGACATCTGACTTTCATAAATTAATGGTAGAATTACCTGTATATTTTGAGATTCTTCTCGGGGACCAAATAATTCCCACAGTGATTTAATGGATTAATTCTGTTTTTTCCATTTCTATATGAACAGTGTAACAGTATGGCATTTTATGAGAAAAAAGTAATATCCTAGGACAGAAGATGTATCATTATTTTTCACATGGGAATGAGACAGGTGAACCATTTTATAAAAGAAGTACATTCTCATTCAGAAATATTGGTAACAGAAGCAGGTGGAACCAGACAGTATGAGTTTGTGGACTTTGCTGCAAAGGAAGAAAGACTTTTGCAGCCCATATGCCTCTACTTCTATAGTTTCATGCTTGGATGGAATTCTTTTGTATAGATGGAGCAACAGGATAAATTATTACATAAGTCAATGTTTTTTTTTAAGTTTCTTTTTTAAAGAAAAAATGTACTGGTGAATGCTTTTTATCTTAAAAGGAAACAGAGTATTTTAACCTACATATTTTTTGTTCAGAAACTTAAATATAATTTGTTTTTAATAAAGTATTTTTAGATTAGAAGAATTAGTTAAATCATATCCCTGAGAACTATGCTAAAGACTGCAACTTAAATTCATAATGTGTATAAAAACAAGCTTACTCATTTTATTCTTTTGTAATTATGTTTAGAAGTTAGTCTGTGATAACAGGATTTTATTCTTAAGAACATTGTTTTGTGCCTATTCTTATGCTCCAAGAAGGTTTAAATATATCAGAGACGTTTTAATTTGCCTCATAAATCTTTATTATCTCATGTGAGGAAGTTAATGCCGGGCATCATTTATTTTACACTAAAAGAATGAAAATAAGGCAAAAGCATCGGCTTCTTAGCATTCTACAACAAATAAAGGCGAGTCAGGTATGATCTGCATCTTATTAAACTGATAAGACTTCTTATTCTAAAGTCTTCTGTAATGTAGAAGGATTATAATATCAGAAATATTTAGTGATCTAGAAAATATCTATGAAACTTGCTTAAGGAGACATATCAAGAACAGACGGTAATAGGGACTTCCCTGGTAGTTCAGTGGTTAAAACTCCACACTTCCAATGCAGGGAGCATAAGTTTTATCCCTCATAGGATCCTTCATGTCTCACAGTGTGGTCAAAAAACAACAACAACAACAAAGAATAGATGGAAATAATGTCACTGCTTTTGCTGACAGAGATTTTCCTTATGCTGTGTTGTTTGTATATGTATTAAAAATAGATGATTTATATTTATGCTGTTTCCAAGTGATACATTATCCTATTTTCTGTTTAAGTGTGTGGCTGTTTTGATGATTACATGTTCTAGAATTGCAAAAACCAAAAACCATACCATTCTAAACTTCCTTAGGTCTTTAGCCTGAAATATTTTTTCTTTCCTTGAATTGTCGGGGCGGGAAACGGAGTTTTAATTTTTCCCAAGAAACACACATTCTCTTTTCTCTTGTCTCTTGGGTAGTGCCTATGATCAGAAGCCACAAGTGGGAATGAGGCCCTCCAACCCCCCAACACCATCCAGCACTCCAGTGTCCCCCCTGCACCATGCGTCTCCCAGCTCAGCTCACACTTCAAAACCTGACCGCGCCTTCCCAGCTCACCTCCCTCCATCGCAGCCCATCCAAGACAGCAGCTACCCCATGGATCACAGGTGAAGTGCAAGTACCTTGTAAAAAAGGTTTATTGGAATACAGTCGATTTACAACATGTGTGTTAGTTTCTGCTATACGGCAAAGTGAATCAGTTATACATATATCTATATCTATTCTTTTTTAGATTCTTTTCCCATATAGGTCATTACAGAGTTGAGTAGAGTTCCCTGTGCTATGAAATACATCCTTATTAGTTATCTACTATATCAGTGATAGTGTGTATATGTTAATCCCAATCTCCCAATTTATTCCTCCCTACCCCTTATCCCTTGGTAACTGCAAGTACCATTTAAAAAAAAAAAAAAACAAAGCAAAACTGTTTTTAGCATTCTTGGAAGAAATTCCTTTTACCACTTCCTAGGACCTATAATAAATTCAAGGTGAGTGTATTAATTTTGCACATCTGTGCAAAATATTTTGAGAGTTTGCTCTGTCTTTAGCTATAAATAATTTGTGGAGAAGGTCATTTATAAACATTCCTTTATAAACATTTAAATTGGTTGCTAAAATGGAAAATTAATCTATATACTGACATTTGAACATTTCCCTTTCTGTTTGCTTGAATTAAATTGCTTCACTTAAACTTTAAATCAGATCATCCCATTTTTATGAGCATATGTGTGTACTTGTAAAATAAAGTTAGGAGACTAATTTTAGTAGATGGCTTATGGAATTAGGTTCTTTACCTTAGACTGACTGGTTTAGCTGTACATAGTTTTGCAGAAGAGAACTTATATGACAGAACTCTCTTTCCTCCTTTCCAAGTGATGGATATCTAATGTCAGTAGATGCATGACCCTGAACACTGAGAATATAACCTTAAAGTGGTAGAGACTGAATTAGAATTACTTACAAAGCAACAAGGCAAGACACAACATAGAGCTAGAGAATATGCTATGCCGGGTAATTCTCAACTCTTAGAGATTTAAAAATTTGTGTTTAAATAAAATATTGAAGGATCCTTAGAGGCCTTAATAATACAACTTAAAAGCACAGTTCAGTTGCATACAGCATTTATTTTTTCCCCTTTTACCCTGTACTTATGTAGAGCAAGTGGTGTGTTGGTAAATGGTTAACAATAGGATCTATGGAAGAAAACCCCAAAGACTTTGATCTGTAGCATTTGATAAGTCTGTGATGTAAATATTGCCCCCATGGCAGATTCCAAGCTATCAGTATGACAACCCTGAATGTGGAATTGGAAAGGGATGTATAGTAACATGCCATGAAATAGTAGTATTTCTACCAAACAGATACAACAGCTATAATCCCGAGAGCATGATTAGTATGTTGTGTTTCAGTTGCTCAGTCGTGTCTGACTCTTTGTGACCCCATGGACTGCAGCACACCAGGCTCCTCTGTTCATGGAATTCTCCAGGCAAGAATACTGGAGTGGGTTGCCATTTCCTTTCCCAGGGGATCTTCCCAACCGAAGGATTGAACCCAGGTCTCCTGCATTGCAGGAAGATTCTTTACCTTCAGAGCCACCAGGGAACCCCAGATTTTAACAATAAGCCTGTGCAAAGGCGTTCTGACACACCATTATAAAAATAACTCAGCCAAAGGAATCCTCCAGATCAGCAGAGGAAACCCAAAGATGTGCCACCGGCAACTTTCTTAAAATAAGGGAATACTCAGATCTGCTTTTTATAGATTATTTAATGGTACTCAATATCAAATTCAGTCACTCTTCTGATATGAGAGGGTAAGATGAAAGCATTCATTCTTTCCAGCATGAAACCAAGTAATAATGTTTCTACCTTGGTTTTCATCCCTGTGTCCTCTTGTGCTTTCGTTATGAAATGGTGTCCATTATCTTTCTCTTCTCACCCTGTGGACCTGAGACTTTCTCACAGTGTAATGGTATGAGCATCTGTGTAAACAGTTTTGTAAATACAGATGAAAGAAATCTTATTGCCGGGTGGGCCATTAAACAGATGCACATTGTGTAGGACTGATGGGGGGATAGAGAGGACGATGCAGAAAAAAGCAAGTTTTGTTTTGTCTGCTTCTGGGGACTTCCCAGAGTTCTTGGTCCCAAGCCTCTCACCCCTCAGATGAGGGTCAGAATTAGCGGTGGTATGGTTGGCACTCTCTGGAGTTGTCTCTTATGGAAAGTGACTGCTGAGCAAGCAGTGTGGCTGTTTTTAGGTGACCTAACTGGAGATGCCATAGCCAAATCCATTTGAGTTTCTCTACTTGAAGTCAAATATTTGAGACTGCGAACAGCCGGCCCGGAACTAGGAGAGGGAAGCTCAGGTCTTTTCCCAGTGTCCCCTGCGGAGCGTGGAGGCCAGTACCAGCTGGCCCATCCCAGGAAAATCTCTGAAGCCGTATGTTTCTGAGGAGGATTTCTTGGAGAGCTCTCGCCAACAAATGACAGTCCCTCAGTTATAAATGGCAAATTTGCTCTGGGAACAGATCCTGTCCCCAAATAGCCCCCTCCAGCCCAGCACCCAACCTCTCTCAGGGAACACTTCGTGGCCAAATGGGCTGCACCCCACTTCCTCCCCTCAGCCTCTCTCTGCTCCTCGGTCCAGCCCTTTGGCACTTTTCCCTGAACCCACTGTGCAGGAGTCCTGTCTCTTTTTCTCTGTTTCCCACCACTGAGACGCTGTTTTTCTGTACCCAGGAGTTCATCAGCATGCTCTCCTTACCCATGCACTGTCTTCCAGAAGCTTCTAAGTCCATTTCTCTTTACTATCAGTCAGAAGAATGTCACCACAAACTGGTAGTTTCTTCAGAAGGCATATGTGTGTTGATATATGCATGGTCCTCAGTGAGTACCAACTGGAATCACGTTGACTCCTGCAAACAAATGGCTTGACTTTTTTTTTTAAACAAAGCTTTTAGCAGAAGTATTATTAACTTCTTTGTACGGCTTCCCAAGTGAGCAAGAGTTCTTATTTTAACTTCAAGTTACAATTTTCTCATTCACTCCTTGACAGTTCTTAATGATAATTTCTGTTTCTTTTTTTGGCTAATGAAATAAGCAAGAGAAGGGAAATGAATGCAGTGCCAGTCAGCCTAACTGTTTGGCAATATTTGAGTTTCTAAGTTGGTTTTCTGCAGGTGTAGGTGGAATTTCAGTGCTTTTCAATGGCAGCTGGTGAGGCTAGAGTTAAATCACTGGGTGGAGTGTTCTGAGAAATGCTAAAGCAGTCGCTCTGCCATTCTTTTGCTTTTCCCTTGTTTTCATTTAACGTTACCAAAATTAAATGTTAACTCTCCAAATTAAAGTCACAGGAATGCTTTTAGAAGGGTGCAGGGGAGTTAACAGGCATACATTTGCTCATAGAAATGTCGGATAGTTTATTTTTAAGCACTCTTGGGCATTTTAGAGCACTTTAAAATCTTTAATTAATCCACATCTTTGTGGTGGGTCAATGGTATTAGGATGAGACACACAGAACTGAATGATGATGTCATGAGTCAGTCAGTACAGTAGATGACCAAGAAGGAAGGAGTCTAGAAACTCACCGTCAGAAACTGCCGAGGCCTTGGAGCTTCCACGTGACCTAACATCATGACGTGTTGCAATACTATGTGATGCAGGCATGTTCTTTCCATCTTTAGAGGGCTGCTGTAATATTTTATGCTCATTTTTATCAACCCGATATTTTGTCTGAAACTCTTGGAAGCCAGTCCAGTGTTCTGACAGTAAAGAAGTGGTCTTTAAAAACTAGCTTGGATTCATTCTCTGTAATATTGCTCAGTTTAATTTCTCACTAGAATACAGTGTTCTTTAGGACATTGTTGAAGATGTAAGAGTCCCATTTGAAAAATCCCACCCATTTCCTTCTTTCTTCAGTAACTGATGGTAAGAAACAGAAAACCATTAAGGAGGTTTTTATTTGGTTGATTTTTTGTTTGTTGATTAGCTTGATAACAATTAAAAGATGATGCAATTTGAGATCAGATTCTTTCCAGAGTTGCTGTTTTGCTTTTTTTTTTCTTGTCTATAATTATTTGAACTCACTTCATAAGGAAATTTGGTGAGTATTGAGTTGATTTCTCATTGGGCATTTTAACTGTCAGGGTATGTATTTCTTGCAAATGCTACATTGCTCTCCTTAGCCTTACTTGATGCACACCTTTAACTTCTGGTAACATACTGAAATGGTGCTGAATGGAACTAATTAGAAGAGGAACACAAGGTGTGCTATGATTAGAAAGCATATTGCTACTGAACCAGGAAGGAGAAATCTCATCTTCATTAAAGATTTACACTTTGGGTCAGTCAGCTGGTGTCACGTTCACTAAGTGGTTAAAAATTGTGCCAGTACTTTTAAAGGGTATTCCTTGTTACCTTTTTATTTGAAATATGCTCTCTTATTTCCCAGATTTCGCCGCCAACTTTCTGAACCCTGTAATTCCTTTCCTCCTTTGCCAACAATGCCAAGGGAAGGACGTCCCATGTACCAACGGCAGATGTCTGAGCCAAACATCCCCTTCCCACCTCAAGGCTTTAAGCAGGAGTACCACGACCCAGTGTATGAACACAACACCATGGTTGGTGGTGCAGCCAGCCAAAGCTTCCCCCCTCCTCTGATGATTAAACAGGAGCCCAGAGATTTTGCATATGATTCAGGTAGGCCTGTGCTTTAAGTTACATTTATGATATCTTTTCACTTGCTTGTCCCTTTCATTAGTGTTGGCTGCAGTTTAGGTGGCTCCTGACCGTTTTTTGGTGGAAACTTTCTGATTTATTCCTTCTTTGAATCTTTCTCTTTATGTGAAGGGTTGGACTTTCAAACCATTTTGGCACGAGTCGATGGTTGAAAGAGTGTCTAGAATTGAAACCTGTTTGAGGAAAAGTACAATTTGTAAAATTAAGCTCTCTTATCTCAAGCCAGGAGAGTAACAGGGCTCTTCTATTCTTAATTCTGGGCTTTTTTTTCCATTTGCTCCTGTGGCATTATTTAATGACAGTATTTACAGAAGGTAATATTCTGTACTAACTTATTGCTTATTAACTGTTTTTTTCTTTATTGGTATGCAAGATTCCAAGGGTTCAAAAAGAAGAATTCTTCCATATTGGACAAGGAATAGCAAAAATAGCAATAATAGAGCTTAGCTGTCATCTCACTGAGCCAGAAAGGCCCTGCTAAGTAGTATGTCAAAATGGAGAACTGGGGTTACCTGGAAATAAAGAACATTTTCATCTATTGTTAATGTTACCAAAAACTTTGCCTATATTCAACCTTGAGAACTCAGAAAAATTACTTAATCTGTGTTCATTTTATTTTACAAAATGAATTGAATACATTCAAAATGAATTACATTCAAAATACACTTACAAAATAAATTGTCTTATATTGAAACAAAATGAATTTTTTTTACAAAATGAATGCATTTTGAATTGTCTTACAATTCAAAATCAAGACACATGCCTTTCAGAAATCTTGGGAATTTTGAAAAGTAGTATGAAATAAAAGCTAATGCTTCTAAGAAGGGCACCAGGCAAAAAAATTGCTAACATTACTATAAGTATGATCAATAGATGGTTGTAGACTTAAAAATATTTGAAAGCAAAGTGACTTCCTTTCACGTGGATACGAAGTTATGGATATCCTTTATGAAGGAACTATTGCTTCTGTAGGCATAACTTTTTCTATCAGTTCCACTTGATGAAGGAAATCTGTCTTCTGGTCTTGTTTCCTTGTCTTAAGTTAACTTGTATAAAGTTACCTGTTTTATTATAAAGTGATCTTAAAGCTCAGCAAGAAGGAGCCCTACTGAGAGCCTCCTTCTGGCCATCCTTTCTCATTGGCTAAGAAGTTCAAAGAACTAAGGGGAATTTCTGCTGAGAGACTGACTCTACTGCTGGAAGGTACACTAGCTGCCCAGGACCCATGCCTTCCCTGCCCAGTCAGCCCTGAGTCTACTTCCAGGACCGGAGCAAGTTCGTCCCAGGCCTGGTTACACACAGCACATTGTTCTTGCGTATACCTCTTAAGTCCAAGGAGGTGGCCAAGGGGCAGCTGTTTGTGAGAGGATGAGGATGGGGCTTGGCTGTAGCCATAGGTTTGGTGTTTGAGTCCTGTGGTATGGAGCAGCGTGGGCTTGAGGGATGTAGGAAGTGAGGCAGGAAATGGGTGAGCTGGGGTCTGAAGACTGAAAACCCTCCATACCATTTTCTCTTTCAGTTCTCATCCTAGAAATTTCCCCAAAGTCAAGGTTTGACCTGGCCTTCCAAGTTGCTATGTTGTCACATTTTCAAATAGGAAAAGAGAACGTTATTTATTTATAAGTTTGTTGGACTGATTCATAGTTTTAAAAGTTGTTTTTTTTTTTAAAGATGTTTTTGATATGGACCATTTTTTAAATCTGTTGAATTTGTTACAAGATTGCTTTTGTTTCATGTTTTGGTTTCTTGGTTGCTAGGCATCTGGGATCTTAGTTCCCCAACCAGGGATCAAACCTGCACCCCTTGCCCTGAAAGGCAAAGTCTTAACCATTGGACAACCAGGGAAATCCCCATGTTGTTCTAAATATTTAAACATATGGTGTGAGGGACTTTATTTGAATGCTTGTCCCAGACCCTGTAATTTCAAGACCATCCTAAAATGTACCATAGTGGTTATAGTTTAGAACCTTTTATATTTGTCTATGATTTATGTGCATAATTAAGAACCCTGCACTACAATGGGCTTTATTCTAGATAAGGTTCCTTTTTAATGTAAATTTCTAATCCTGTTAACTGATGTTATCCTGATTCTTCAAACCACATTTCAATTTGCTACACAGTTTCTTGAATTCATTGTGATTTCAAGAAACTTTACATGTAAATCATTTAAAATAGCCCAAATAATTGGTTCAGTAGGACCTGCAAGGCATAGCATTTTTAGAAATTTCTTCATGTTTTCTAGAAATGATTTTACATCTCAGAAAGATTATAATTGGACTCATTTTCTTGATTCTTTGGTTTTCCATATATTATTATATGTAAATATGCATATATTCATATTAATATAACATTCTCCTTATACTTATATCATATGTAAAATTATATATAACATGGTATTGAGAATGTGTAACTTTTCTTAAGAAGATGTAAACCAAATAAAAAGATTTAAGTAATCCAATGAAGGAAAAAAAAAAACAAAACTGATACTGTGAGGTTTAATTGCATTAGTTTTAGGCCATATGTAATATAGAGCTTTACATCAGTTGCTGTCTGGCCCTCAGAGGCACAGATTCAGTTACTTCCAACCAAAAAAGGATAGTCCATTCTTTAGCTCAGCCTGCTAGAATCAGATACCATCAATTGGAAAGCTTAGACAGCAGACATTTAACTCTCACAGTTCTATAGGCTGGAAAGTCCAAGATCAAAACTGCCAGCAGATTCATTTCCTGATGAGTCTCCTCTTCCTGGCTTGCAGATTGCTACTTACGCAATGTGTCATTATGTAGCAGAGAAAGACAGAGCTCTGGTCTCTCTTTCTCTTCTTATAAAGATACTAATTCCACCATGAGGGCCCCACCCTCATGACCTGGTCTTATTCTAATTACCTCTCAAAGCTCTCCTCTCCAAATTCCATCATGTTAAGCATTAAAGCTTCACAATGAACTTTAGGGGCCTTGATCATTCAGTCCATAAAGAGCGCAGTATCCTATTTTAAAGGTACATAGGGCATCTTTTTTGTAAGTTACCATATACCTTGCAAATGACTTGTGGAATATTTGTTTAATATTTAAGAAGTTGTTAACATATGTTACTTTCTCCCCTTTAAATTATATTTCAAGTTGTTAAAGTTGGACAGTACCTTTGAATTCTAATTTCAATATTGCCAATAAGATACAGTTCAGTTTTGCTTGAATAGTTATATAGTAAATCCATCTTCTGAATGGATGTGGTCTAAAGAACTATAGTAACTGTGTAACAAGGGCTGATGAAAAATTAACCTGTGCCTTTCAAAATGTGTTATACTGACTTCCCAGTTGCTGCAATTAGGTTGACACATCTGTATATATCAGTCATTGCTGTCACAAGTATGATCTCCAGATATTTTGTTTTATTGTCTTTAGTTCTTGCATCCTTGCTGGCAATTTATTAATCTTTTTTAGATAATTTAATGTATTTATCACTGAATCATTGGGTGCTTAGTTGACTTACTGATGTTGAACAAATAACACATTAGAAAATACTTCATGTGATTTAAAGACAATGCGAAAAACATTTCATAATCCTTTTATTCAGTATCTATGATCCACAGATTGTCCTTTAAGAAGGCCTCTAGAACTCTTCATTGCTTAATTCAATATAATATAAATGTTGTGAAAATAAAAGAAGCTTTGTAAGTGAAAAGGCAACATGATTATGCTCTAATAAAGCCTGACATTAATTATGACATGGGAAATGGAAGGTCTATTAGTCATAATTATAATTACAGGAATGCAATTTCAACTGCTGAGTATTTAAGCTAAAAATTACAAAATATTATGTTAGTAGAGTAGAAATTTTTATGAAGAGAAAGGGAAAAAAACTTGGATCAGAGGGCTCTGAAAAGATAAAAAAACAATTGATATTTAGGGCCAATTCGATGAACCAGTACAATATGATCATGATTATAATATTAAGTTCTCAACAGTCCAGTACAATAATAGATGTAATTATCTGTTATTGTTGTTTTCCTTCTCTGTGTCTCTAGCCTAATATCGCTGCACAAAGCAGGGACACAGGCTTTTTGTTGGTTGGTTGGGTTTTACTGAATCCAATCTGATTTCTTCTTTTTTGCCCCTGTGGCCGAGTGACTCCGTAAAAAGAATTGAATAAGCACTGTGTGCTTCATCCATATGAAGTGCATCCAATACAGTGCTCTATTTAAATAAAATTGTGGCTGTTTTCCCATTTTCATACTCACAAATGAGGTTTTGCAGATTCTGAATGCCCAATGAGGTAAATATTTTAGATATTCGCAACAACATATTTTGTTAGAATTTATGTGTTCATTGATTGGTCTTTTGTTTTGGTTTTGGATAGCTAAGGGCAGTATTTTTAGGAGAGTGGTGAACACATGAAACTAAAGTTTAACACAAGAAAATATAATCACAAAATGTTCATACACTTTGATCAGGTTTTTTCACTGTCAGAAAATTATCTTATGGAAGGGAAGACACATGCTGAATATTTAGTGGTGGAGGAATATCATAGAGTAATTGGTAATGTAAGTTATGGCTCTCAATAGTAAATATTATGCAGTCATTAGAAGTCAGACTTTTAATAATATTTAATGAAATGAGACTATTGAGTAAAAAAATTATACATGTCAACTGTGGCTCAGGCAAAAATAAGACCCAGTATAGAAATACTGTAGCACTATATATGCCGTGATATTATCGTCAGTATCTACTTTGTCTGTAAAGTGCTTTGTCTTTTAATTGTGCTTAGTACAGCTTTTCTAATCAGACAGAGTACGTATTAAATTGTCCAAGTATCAACCAATTTAGAGTTGAAGAAGAAAGTGTCCAAGTTAATCACATCAGTCCCATAAGTAAAAGGAACGCTAAATAAAGAAGGACATAGTCTCATTTGTTGCAAACCTGGCTTTGTATTCCTTTGTTTCCAGGGCTGCCTTAGAGAGGGAG